TGGAAATCTGGTGACGTATACGCCGCCTGTATACGCGCGGTAAGGGAAAGTTCGGATACAATGCCGCTAAATCTAGATCTCCAGAACTGATCCGATCGTGCGGTGCAGTCGGCTGCTGCGGATCCCCATTATGATCTACAATCTACGCGTTATTTTGATTTGTCTTAGATCCGCTGGACACCGACCAATTGAACTTCTGTCGATATGACACAACTTCTCCACCATCAACATCAGAATGACTCAGAATAGAGCCTTAAACAACAGCACGTAAAAACTTACAACTAGGAACAAAAAGAGGGAAATGCCTCCAGGACTTATCCCTTGGTTTGGGTTGGAATAATACGCCTTAGTTTTGACATGAGTGTTGGAAACAGCAGTGTTTGTGGGTAGATTTCAGGTGTTGCCTAACTTATGCGACGCCACTTGAGCACTGTGCGTGTACAATGTGGGCACTCGGTATGCGAATGCACTGTCATGCAGATAATATAAAACATGCAAGGTGGCCATGTGGGCAAGGTTGCCAAACACAGCCTCGGTCAGTTCGAGAACAGGTAGGCTGTCAAATGCATGATGATGTAGATAATTGTTCCACGTTATCTAGCCTTGCACTTTTGAGGTGCTATATCTATCCACGCTGCATGCTTGTATCACGGAACGGAGCGATCAGCGTTTGGGGTCCGCATCTGCAGTACTCTAAAAAATTTGAGTGGTTTTACCGCGGGGGTTTCAAAGTTAATTGTGGAGCCGGTGTTGGCAAGATTGCCCGTTTTGGGTGACCGGTTTGGTAGGTAGGTTTTTGCTCTTGCATATTAGGACAAATTGTCAGACGTTTTTGTAACGGCATTGTATATTTTCGGCTGATTGAAGCCCGGTCAGGTCTGGGGTGCTTTGCTTTGTTTTGTGTTTCCATTATCTAGTTCCATGTACCCCAACCTGGACCATGTACGTAGAACGACCAGCGAGACCCTGTATATACCCTCGCCAACGCTTGGATTCATAGGCACATACGCAATCCCCTGTGCTAGAAAAATGGCAGAGATGGTGATTACTGTTGTATTCGCTATGAATATACCCAAGGCAGGCCGGGGGACGAGGTTGCGGAAATTTTATTTTCTATTTCCCCGCGAGTTCCGCGCAGCCGCCATCGAGTATACAGGCACGAAGTCCGACGACCACGTCCACCTGGTACCAGTAAAGGGACTTGGAGTTTAACGCAATGCAAATGAAGCACAACTATACTCGGTTTACTCTCCATCCAGAAAAATAGCGCCCACAAAATTGGTAAATGATGCCTCTTTTTGGTCGTCAGGACTGGAAATTGTGTCGCAGAAATAAGCATAGTGTACCTTAGCCAGGTTCCCAATGCTCTAGACTGCACGATCAGGTCAATGGAAAACTAGAAATGTGTTTTAAGGTCTGTATGGTTCCTTGCCTTGCTTTACAGCAGTTGATCATTTCTGACCTTTTGCAGACTTCATTCAATCGATACCTTGGAACACAAGATGATGCATGTCACATCACTCCTGAATAGTGGCTCTACTGATCTGGCCGTTCGCTCCATGCACCTCTTGGTTATCGATCCTCGCCGCGAAATCCAATGCTCCTAAGCGGCTTACACGAAGCCAGCCGATGAATGTCTGTGAGATGAAGCTCGCCAAACGGTTTTTGATGGGTCGATGTTGGCATAGAACATCATTATGGCGAAGAACGGCTCTCAGATCTCCTTCCATACCAGAAAGAGTACACTGCCTCCAATCCAGGGCCTCCGTTGGAGGTCCATCTCTCCATTGGAAGGAAGAGACTGACGAAGCTCATTAAGGAGGGCAGACTGAGTCTTTAGGATATGTAACCACATTCAAGGGAGTGCAAAAGTGATTTGTGAACTGCCGATTGTCAATTTTTTTCTTCCGTTACATATAAGACCCTGAAAAGCGACACCGAATTCCCCTTTCTAGCGGAATCTGGATGAAAAATACTCGAGTATGTGCTCCAAGTTCCTGGTAGGTGTCAATGTCATTTTACTTCATTCGAAATACCTACTTTACTTTGGTAGACAATTTCTGGACGATTGACTTAAGATCATTTCAGGCGGGTCAACTTTGACTGTTTCTCTAAATGTCACTCGACTGCTTTCTTTGCCCTCTTATCTCCAGGTCAACTTTCAGAGCCTAGATAATCATCTTCGCCCCTATATAATTTATTCTTCCTTCCACCCCATGTTGAGGCAACGCTCATAGGTTGTGTAGGGCGAATTTATAGTACATTCATGCTATTTGTTTTAATCATACTGTATTCACTCTAATTAGAGTATGACAGAGCCCATTTTCCCATCCGCCTCCGGACGGCGGAGATCCAATCACATTCATGCTATTTGTCCTAGACAGTGCTCGAAGTCTTTGTGGGGCATGTTACGATTAGAGGACAGTCGTTAGCCCCACAAGCTTTAAATTGCCATGATATTAAATACGAGTTCACATACGTGTGACAATGAGCAACCGGACGTTCTATAGACTAGAGACCAGAGACCAGAGACCAGAGGTTTGACAAGCGCACTTCTCAGCGACGACAACATCGGATAGGTATTAAATGCACTCATGCCATGCATGGCAGCAACTCTACTAGAGCATTCAAATTCCAATACCAAAATGGATCTGTGCTTGTTGACTAGCATTCGAAGGACTCCAATGCCGTGTAACTAAATTGGACCAGAAAATAGCGTTGGCCACGGCACGAGTCACTTAGATAATAAAATACCTACTGGCACGGCACCTTGAGCCCTCCGTCCGGCGTCATATCTACAAAATTTACCCTCGCGGTGACATTGCAGGAGTCGAAACACGGTTCTTTAATGGTTTCTCATCTATTTAGTTTCCTACCTTCCAGATCATAAGGTTTCACTCACAAAGCCCTGAAACATGTGTAGACAACTTATCTTCGGGACTGCCGTGGGCTCTGGTTACAGATATATAGATGGCTGGGGACTAAAATCACAGAAACAACTATCTTCGCCTAAAAGTAACAGTATCTAGCTTGCAATGTTTGCCGTGGACTATCGATTATTAGGTGTTTAGGAGTGGGGAGTATATGAGTACGAAGATGTTAGAGACGCATAATTAGCATACACCACTGATTTGAGGTTAATGGTTCGCGTATAAAGTAGGTATGTGATAGCACGATGAAATGTAGTAGAACATCTAGTTTGCTTCCCCCAACCGCATCGGGATCCAGGGCTATCCAGGAACCAGACAGAATGAAGGGCAAAGTAACAGTTCAAAACTACGATACTAGAATTCAGGGAGTTAGAGAGAAACAACAACCGACCCGCAAGCCGGCCGGGCCGTTGCAATAGATAATCCTCCCCCCTGCTCAACTTAAAGAAACGATCACCTCAACCCTCAACCCCCCACTCCCATCCCCACCCTACAACTTCGCCAACACTGCCTCCGCCGTCGAAACCTAGATAGCACCATTAGTCCCGTTTTCTCAAAGACCTCTCTTTCAAGCATACCTCAAGTTGTCCAGGCTCATCCTTCCCACAATAAACCACCTTCCCCTTCTCAATAACAATTGCATACCTCGCTAATCTCGGTCCCATATTCCATCCAATACTCTTCGAGAACTTCGCCTCATCATCAGACAGGAACAAAATCTCATCATTCTTAATCCCATTCGCCTTACTCCACGCGTTCATCACGAACGCATCGTTGTATCCCGCGACCGCTGGTGCGTGTTAACTGTGGGTGTATGGGGAGGGCGGGGAGGGGGGAGGGAAGTACCAACGATATCGACACCCTTAGACTTAAGGTCTTGGAGGTGTTTGATGTAGCCAGGGAGATGGGATTCGGAGCAGGTGGGGGTGAAGGCACCTGAATGATATCAGCTACCGGTTATTTATCCATGCTAATGGGAGGAGGAGAGATACCGGGGACGGCGAAGAGGACAACTTTCTTGTCGGCCCAGTCTTTGGAGGCATTGAGAGTTATGGGTTTTCCGCAAGCCTTGATATCGTCACCACAGTACGGGATGTAGCTGCTCTTGTTAATCTCGCTCACACTATAGCCGGAGCTTGACGGGGGTTTAGACTTACGTGAAGGAGACATCCGACGGAAACTTATCGCCAGGCTTAAGAGCAGTCATTGTGGTTGTTTTGGGTGGTGAAAGGAAGATGGAGAAGGTAGTAGCTGTGGGGGTAATGGGTTTGATTTTGTTTTGGGGTGAGGTGTAGGTTCACGTAGATTGTTTTGGATGAGGTTACATCACGATAGATCCACGCCAATGCTTCTCCACATTGGAGCGAGCACCCGGAAGGTCTCCGGAACGACCCGGATATTGGCCGGCAAAAGCTTGATTGCGTGCAGAACCCTAACCCGGCATCAGGAGATATCATCTAGAAGATCTCAAGCACAACACATTAGACCTCTCACTATTCGTGTACAGTTTGTGGACAGCTTAATTGACATTTAAACAAATAGCATTCTCCAGCATTAACCTCATTCTTCTTAGAGTAACGGGGTAGCTCCATCTCCTTCCAGTAGGGAAGCCAGCCCTTCAACCTGCCCCATCCATTTGCATCTCGCGCCCTTTAAACAATCAAGATGAATAATGAGCTACAGTATAAACATACCCACCGCTCGCCACCACCCATCCAGACTTCCGCCCCATAGCAAAATATAATGTGTTGCACAGGCCACAAAACATCCTGCGATACCGTCACCATCCAGCGGAAGCGTCACATGTACGTAGCCCAGCTGGCGGCCGATAAAGCACTTGAGCTTGCTAGAGCTGGGAAGAATCCCGTGGCTGAGGTTGGAGTTATTGTATGTTGCCGCGGCTGCAATGGGAGTCAAGGGAAGAAGGTGGAGAAGAAGGGTTGAGGTGGAAGGATCTTAGAGTAGTTAGATCACGAATGATGGTGTTACATATCATCCACAACTGAATTGACTTCACGTCATCAAAATCAAAGGAACCAAACCCACAACCAAAAGAGGAATCACGACCTCTGACTATTCCCAGGATCGAACTGGGGACCTCTTGTGTGTGAGACAAGTGTGATAACCACTACACCAAACAGCCATTGTATATGGGTTAACCTTTAGGGTAATTTATAATACAAGTTTACAAAAGCAAAACATTCGTCCGCGTGAGATCCGGTGATCAATCGTCACAACCACTTCTTTCCCGCCAAACCACCAGATACATGCCCCCCCTTCGTCTTGGATGCTGGTAACTCTGGAGAGATCCGTTTTAAAGGGCAGTAATAGACAATCATGGGTTGGCGACTCAAATATAAGATGGTGAGTGATTTGGTGATGAGAAATCACCTGTTCTATTTGTACAGTTGACAGCACCAGCTGCCTAAAAATGGATACCTGCTCTAAATTGAACGAAAATGCGGAAACGATGGAACCCTTATTGTATATCAAATTTAGACATACATATAACCAAAGTCTCTACAGTAAATCCAATTCAAATTACGTGTATACGTGTATATTCCGACCATAATCAGTAAACTCGCAAAGGCGGCATGCCGACTATGTCCCCCCAATCAACTAGATACCTCAAAAAGAGTAATAGCAAGTAATGTATGATCCTCCTCTCCCACACAAAAACACAATATGCAAACAAAACGGAGGACCTGACGACACGACGTGCAAGAATTTAATACCAGCTCACCAAACTCCTATGCTTCAATCAATGCCTTGCTCTAGATGATAGCCTCAGTAGTCTCCTTTTCTGACACCGCTGGAGGAGGCGCAGTAGTTGTGGGGGTGGGTTTCGGCTCCTGGTACTGGTCTTCCCTCCATGGCCCTGCATCACTCAACTGGCATCCTCCCTCGCACTGACAGAGTCCGCCAAAATCCTTGGGCAAATTTTCGGCTGGAATCTGTTCAAGGAGTGCCGATTGGTAAGTTCCGCCAAGGACGTTGATCTTCTGGACGGTTACAGGGTCCAAGAATCCCTTCACCATGCCAAAGGCGCCCGCGAAACCCCAGGGGGCGTTGATTATGTAGAGTTTGCCGAGACTGCGTCATTGTTAGCATTCCATACTAACTCATTCGTTGGATGAGAGGGGCTAACCGTTCTGGGTAGTAATTTTGTGAGATTGCTGACACCTTCTTGAGGAATCCGTAGACCTGAGGGATGCTGGTCACTCCAACGCCTTTAAGATCCATGATAGTGCAGCAAGTCTCTAACAGCTTCCCTGCCTTCCTAGAGCAAGCGGGGAGGCGGGGTTCGGCAAGACGTTCATATTCCAAAACCAAGTTCTGGATCATGCGTTCCTCGGTAGTAATCTTCAGCATCGCGGCGAGATCGATCTTCCCGAGCTGTTCAATGTAGACAGGGCGACCATCCTTATCGATCTTATGGTAGTACTGGGGATAGTACTCAAAAACTTTTGGTTTCTCGACGTACACAAAACTGTTGACGATTTCATCGACCTTAAACTCTTTTCGCCACTTCTCACAATCGGTAAACCTACCCCCCACCACGAGTGTTAGCTTGTCTGACCTGGGGCCAAAGCTGCCGAGATACTGTAGAAGTTTCGGGCCCGTACTCGAGACAGCGGCCTTGGTGTTTATAGTCAAGTGGTAATGGCGGTGGTGGTGGTGCCTACATTTGCTTGGCCAAAGCAACATCAAACTTTCTTGCCCTCAGGAATCGGAGCTGTAAGTAGAACATGTTAGCACTGCACGAATCGCCGATCCACCCGCTTTAGGACTACGTACCAAAGTAAGCGTATCCAACCTCTCCGTGTAGTTTGCCTCCTCAAGCTCCTTTCTCAATTGAACCACCTTCTCATCTTGCTCTCCAGTGGTGTGCCCAGGGTGCCCCGAACCAGATTCGGGGTTGATCGTAGGGTAGGTAAAGTTATCGTACTTGGGATCTGAGGACATGGTTGCTGTGTTCTAAGTTGATAAATGTTCTTTGTTTTCTGTAGGTTGAAAATGTAAGTAACGAGAATAAACAGGACAGGGGGCGGAGGCGGGGGGAATCTTAAAGAGAGACAGCACAAAGCAAGGGACTGTACCAATCTACTCTATGAATAAGCGCAAAATGAGAGAAAGAGAAAACACAAACACGTATAACGGTCTATAAGAGCAAGCGGATCAGGGCAGAAGTTGTTAGATATTCGAGAGCTGTTGCAGTTGTAGAGTAGGTGTCAGGAGGTTGGCAGAGGTAGAGTTGAGCTGATATCCGAATTCCTTGGCGCTCTTGTACGCTTGTCGCTTGCTCACGATGAGCGGCTTGAGGACCCGGAAACAAGTTGGAAGGACGTTTCTTTCTGCCAAGCCAAATATGGGCTCAATGGGTCTATGAAGCTCCTGAATTAGGCAGCCCAGAGTTCCTTTGAGAACTTTTGGGATCCATGGATTCACGGTCCAAGGCTATATAACGGTCAGACTCACAGTCGTCGTAATGTAAACTACTATGGCAAGAGGTGCCGTGCCGAGTGTACGCCGTACTTATTGGAAGATGGAGTAAGTCCATGCGTTGAAGTTACTTATTCAAAATTCCAAAAGCAGAACTTCGGAATTCCCACACTTCCGAGTTAAGTTGGGGGTTTTCAAGGCACTAATATCAATAAACTAGGGGCTTCTGCTATACTTAGAACAGTTCAGTGACCCAGAGCGTTCCTGTACAATCATGCCCAATCAAGGTTTGTGATAGGTTCATGTCCTTGTACCACTAATCACAACAAAGCAAAAATCTGCAAGTTCGACATGAACTGGAGAGAGGGCGTTAGATGGACTGCACTGCATCTTCCAATTTCAGTGTAGCAGCACTTCCTTCAATCTCGGACGGTGGCGGTTTGCCCCCCCACACAGCCTTACAATGAACCCCAAATTCTTCAACCGTCTTTGATCCGCAAAACCCAGTTATTTTATTTGAAATCAAGACAATCCCATTTTCCCAAACCCCAGACCCAAGGTACATCGAAACACAAAAGGCAACGAGAAAATTGACGCCGTGATAGTTGAAAGAACCTCGTTTATTTGAGGGGGATGAAACGAGAAGAGTGTGTGGCACCGATACCGGGACGACCGTGTTTGACAGGCTTGCTATAATACCACCTCTATTAGCTGCAGGATTCTATACTTATATTTCCATGTTGGATACATACTAAGAGATAGAGAACTCTGCCAAGTAGTGGCCAACCATCTCAGGCTTGATCTCAACCTGGTTGAACTCCTTTCCAGAGTAGATACCGATGACGGAACCAATCATTTCGGGGACAATGATCATGTCACGGAGGTGGGTCTTGACGAGGTCGGGCTTCTCGTTGGGCTTCGCCTCCTTCTTGGCCTTACGGAGCTTCTTGATCAAACCCATGGGCTTGCGCTTAAGACCACGGTTGAACCTTCTGCGGGCACGGGCGTGGACGAGGTCACGGAGCTCCTCGGAGGAGAGGTCTAAGAGCCTATTTACGGGATCAGTAAGTAGGATTTCTCTCGGAGATACGGAATGCGGCATACTGGTCAAGGTCGACACCACGGTAGGAGAACTTGCGGAAGGTTCTGGCCTTCTTCTTCTCTGTTCTAGTGGGTTAGCAAGTCCCCATTGAAGAACGCGAGAAGGTCAAGGCTTGCCCTCAGCAGCAACGGGATCCTTTGAAAATGTCAGTTAAAAAAGTCCCTATTTAGAATTCCATCCAACTCCCGATCCGGTCAAAAATACTCACATAGTCTGCGTCAGCCATTTTGATGTATCGGCGCTCGTGAAAAACTTGAGGGTAGCGGCGGGATGGCGGGGATTGTCGTCGGGTGTTGGGCGGTGGGCGATTGTCGAGCTGTTCGTGAATACACTGTTGTTTCGCTATCCTCCTCACGCACACGCACAATGCGCTAGACTGCGTTTTTTAGGGTATTGTCTTGGCATATGCATCATGAGCTCTCACGTAAGAGAACGTCTATGATAACGTCTATGATAACGCGTTTTCCACAACTCACGCTCGTACAAAATCGCTGAACCAAGGACGGTGCAAGATCATTATTACTTCTCCGAAATCTAATGTATAAAACGTAGACAATCAAAAATCCAACAACGGCATTCATAAGTATCGTAATCCAATATCCCATCTCCACATTCTACTGCATCATAGCCATCTGCTCCTTCCTCCTCCTCTCTGTATCCCTATTCAATTTCTTAAAGAAGGCGCTCTTTCCTCCCTTCAGCTCCTTATTTTTGCTCTTATTCCGCTCCATATATGCCATAGTATTTCCGCCCGAAAGCTCACTGAGCTTGCCCTTTGTCCGCCTATACCCTCCCCTGCGCTGGGCATTAAACTCAATCCCGTCGCATTATCAAAGTCATCCTTCTCCTGCGTGCCCGACTCTGCATTCTGTAATACAACCTCTTCGAGAAGTTCTTTCCGCTCCGCAAGAGTCGAGTATGCCAATCCTGGGAGATGCTCGATACCCTGAAGATGCGTGATCACCTTAAAGGCATAGCCCTGGTCGACCAGGAATGCCTGCCGCTTCGACGAGTAATACATCTCCGCAGTGTCTTTGGAAACAAGTGAATAGAAGAATGCGTTGAATCCTTCATCGTTTCTGCGTTTTGCTCGAAGGATGCGGCCAAGACGCTGAGCTTCTTGACGACGAGAACCGTAGTGAGATGATATCTGGATGAGACACGTAGCTTCGGGTAAATCGAGCGAAGTGTCTCCAATCTTGGAGAGAAAGATAGTGTTGACTTGGTCGTTGAGTTGAAAGTTTTCGAGAATACGCATACGCTCTTGCTGCGGCGTTTCACCATAAATGAAGGCCTTTTTGAGCTTGAGGGCGTAAGCTTTCAATGCGTAGACGTTATCTGAGAAGACGATGATCTTATCGCCACGCTTTTCATGGTGATCAATGAGGAATTGGCATGCTTGGAATCTGGTTGAGACTTGTTAGCGAGAACTCACGATAAAAAGTAATCCAAACAAGCGTACTTCCGGGGATTCATGATGTAGTGCAACGTCTTCTTGCGTGCGTCCGGTTCATTCAAATACTCAGTATAGAACTCTGGACTCATCGGGCACCACACCTCGGCACACTGCACTTTCGCGATATGGCCGAGTTCTGCCA